TCAAAAGTCCTCAAAAGTTTTGAGGCGCCTCAAAAGCATGATGGATGTCGATTTGGAAGGTGACAGTGGAGTGGAGGGTTCAAATCGACTCTCCACTCATGAACCCTCCACTCCACTGTCACCTTCCAAACCCTCCCTCTCCTCTCACTCCCCACTTCTCTACTGCTCCTCGATACTCTCATGCTGCAGTTAATCCTCTTTCACCTCCCATTTCTGGCTCAAGCCACCAGTCGGCCAGATGAAGATTCACTGAGCACTGTGAATAAGACACCTAGGCAAGAGATTGCTGTGAGGCTTCTCAGATTAAAACTCTCCTTCCTGCACCTGTCCTTCTTTTTGCCTCAGTCGGCCAGGGGGCGATCGGATCAACGCGGTGTTTGAGACGAAGCTGCCAGCAGCACTCAACAAGCTTCCCTTTGACAAGCACCTTTCCATCCAGAGTACGTGCCTTCCCTGTCCAAGTGACACACATGCGTGTGCGCACTCGCAACACACATGCGCGTGTGTGTGCACCCTTATGCCCACACACATACACACGCGTGCATGCAGAGCATTGACAGAATGTTGCCGGGTTCTTTCAACAAGCCGCTTTTGAGTTGTTCACTAAAAGAGTCACTTGAACAACCTTTTGCCACTCATTTCCCCTCAGACACCTCTTTCCTCTCAAGCACTCACTGTGTTTTCTCTTTCCATCTTCCCACGCCCTCTCCTGTCATCCCTGCTGACATTCTGGTCGCATATGGGCATTAGTCCGAACCGAACCCAACCCCCTTTCCTGTACGCAAACCTCTACCTTTCTCTTCAAAACAAAAATTGCCAGATGTGAGGCGGATTGTGGCGGAGGCGGACGGGTACCAGCCGCATCTGATCGCCCCTGAGGGCGGATACCGGCGGCTGATCGAGAGCGCGCTGCTCATGTTCAAGGGGCCGGCAGAAGCAGTGGTGGACGAGGTGCATTTCATTCTCAGGGACCTCGTTCGAATCTCCGTGGGGGAAACTACCGAGCTGCTCCGGTTCCCGTCGCTCCAAGCTGAGCTGTCAGCTGCTGCCACCCAGTCGCTGGAAAGTTTTCGGGAGAACAGCCGGAAGCTGACAGTTCGATTGGTGGAGATGGAGACGAGTTACCTGACCGTGGAGTTTTTTCGGCGGCTGCCCGGGCTGGAGAATTTGGAGGACGGGATGGAGGGGAAGGATGGGAAGAAGGGGAGTGGGAGTGGCGGGAGTAGCAAGATCAAGGCGCTGAAGGGCAGTGGGGATAAGCTGCCTACTGGGGCGGACCGATACCAGGAAATGCACTTCAGGAGAATCGGTGAGAATCTTTGAGTCTCCTGAGTGTGTTCGAGTTTCTGGAAGTTCCTGTTAGGAGAATTGAGGAGTGGCGTGAGTAGCAAGATCAAGGCGCTGAAGGGCAGTGGGGATAAGCTGCCTACAGGGGCGGACAGATACCAGGAAATGCACTTCAGGAGAATTGGTGAGTATCTTTGAGTCTCCTGAAATGTGGTTAGGAGAGATGTTTAGAGTGCATGTGGGCTTCAACTTGCCCACATGTAGTGAGGCGATTTTTGAGGCGCCTCGAAAAGTGCGTATGGGCTTTGACTCGTCCACAGTCCACCTATGTGGGCATGGTAACTCATAAATCATTGGGGTTTCACCTGACTAGTCATTTATCCTTTCCCTTCCTTTCCCCTCGCAACTCTCAATGCAATCTGCAGGGTCCAACGTGTCAACCTACGTGGGCATGGTCATGGAGTGCTTGCAGAATTCCATCCCCAAAGCCGTGGTGCATAGCCAGGTAGGATTGTGTTGCCAGGTGGTATCAGGTGCTGCCAGGTAGGACTGCCCTGTCAGGTAGGATTGTGTTGCCAGGTGGTATCAGGTGCTGCCAGGTGGGACTGCCCTGTCAGGTAGGATTGGGTATGCCAGGTTGAATTGTGCTCTGCCTGGTAGCGCTGCCCATGTTCAGGTGGATTTGTGGGAATTGTGGAGTGCCAGATAAGAATCAGCACTGCCAGGTGGGATTATGCAGGATTATGCATTGCCAGGGAGGATTGCCCACTGCCAGGTAGGTTTGCCCACTCTCCGATAGGATTGTCACACTGTCGAATCTGCATGATCTCCCCCTTTTGCTTTTGATGGGCAGGGAGGACAGAATGGCACTAATTGACCTTATACGTTTCCTTCTCTGCCGTTTTTGTCTATGTTTTGCAGGTCCGGGAAGCCAAGCGGCAGCTGCTGGACTGGTTTTATGCAGTGCTGGGCAGAGAGGATGGAACGGTGCTCACTCAGCTTTGGGCCCCCCTTAAAGACCTAGTGTTGTGTGTGTGTCTCCCTCTCACTCTCTGTTTTCAGGTCCGGGAGGCCAAGCGGCGGCTGCTGGATCGGTTCTATGCGATGGTGGGCAGGGAGGACGGGAAGGCACTCGCGAAGCTGCTAGATGAGGATCCGGACGTGATGGCTCGGAGGCAAGCTGCATGGAAGAGGCTGGAGCTACTGCGGAAGGCACGGAATGAGATTGACAGTGTTGGATGGGCCCGAGTATGAGGCGTGATAAGTGGTTGGGTTCGGTTGGGTTGGGTTCAGTTTGGTGGATGCTATAGGGAATGAATTGGGAAGGCATCGAAGACAATAGGTGTGGATTGGACTTTTAGACAAGGTGGCGACAAGCCAAGAAACGGTGGTTTAGCCAGAGAAATCCGGGCCCGAAACAATTGCAGCATGTATCACCTTAAAACCGGGGTGCACATTCAGCTGAATGTGCATCAAAGGTTATCCCTTGACTGAGTGGGTTACGAGGTGTGCTTTCAACCCCTTCAAGTCGAAATTCGTTTCCCCCCTCCCCCGCAATTTCGTTTCCCCACGCCCCCGCAATTTCATTTCCCCCTCCCCGTCGAAATTCGTTTCCCCCCTCCCCCGCAATTTTGTTTCCCCCCTCCCCCGCAATTTCGTTTCCCCCCCCTCCCGCCAATCTGTTTCATCCCTCCCGCCATTCGGTTTCACCCACTCCCGCCATTTCACCCCCTCCCGCCACCTACGAAATGCCCGAAGCTCTAGCGGAATCATTTTTTTGTCGCCCCTCGTGAGCCAATCACTGTTTTTCTCCAAACCCCCTTCCCAACATCTCAAGCCGAACCGCGTTGAATGTGCACCCTGGTTTTAAGCTTTGATGCAGTGGAAACAAGAATGTGACTGTAAATGCGGATAATTCGCTGTTCATGAATAGAGTATGTGTGCTTGTTTTAGCGGGAAGCCTACCCGTTGGCGTTTAACTTTTGCTTCCGCGATCCGGCAATTTCACTAGACTTTGGTGAAGCTGGAAGGAACTGCTAGCTCCCTCCTCTGCACGCGCACACACACACAGACACACGGCCGACAAACGAGTCTGCTTTCGCGATTGGCGGCAGAATGCGTTGCCATTGGCGCGACTTTCTTAGCGGACCAAATTCAACCGGCACATTTACTTTTAGAGCCAAGCCTAGAAAAAATCGCATCGCATGGACCAGATCACTTTCAAAGTGGAGCACCCTCATCTCGTCATGTCCCCCTTTTCCTGCAATTCCAACTGTGAAAGCCCAGCCACAAACCTCGCACCCGAAATCCTGACTCCACCCAGCCTGTCGGCCCGGCAGCTTTCAGGCACAGATGCATTCCCTACCGTCCGAATCCGAACCGTGTTGCGAATCCCATCTCCCGTCACCCGTCATGTAAGTTGAAACGTGACTCGTCTCGTTCTGTTCGGGATCAAACGAATAAGCGGGCCGAGGACGACCGACCGTGGATGGAATTGTTCGGGGAATCTCCTCCGTCGATTCGCGCTTTCCAGATAGTTCACTGCACCCGAAGCAGTTGCGCTCCCAGTCAAAACCAAGGCTGCAATTCTCTCGGTGCTGGGAAAAACTTCTTCCATTTTCCACTCTTCCTCCTCACGAGACTCTCCGCGTTGACTAGAAAATTCATTGGTTTCTGTGAGCATAGTGGTTTCAGTGGCTTCCGCATTAGTCTGTGTGTATCTGCCGAGAACGACGGCAAAAACGACTCTCCAATCATCAGTTGACCCACTGATTTTTCCTCCTCACTCACATCTAGTGCCGCCTTTCACCAACAGCGCCTTCCTCCGGGACAACTTAGAACAACTTAGAACAGCAGGAGCGTGTGACTTGGTTTTTTAGGCGTCTCGGAAAGCGGGACGCGGTCGCCGATGTCGTTCTTAGAAGCGCGCCAGGCACTCGATAGGTCGCTCGCGTCGCCTGCGTGGACCGATCGCGACGCCGTCGCGGCTGCTGTCAGGCGACACCTGGGTACGTGCGCAGTGTGTGACGTAACTATTATATTCAGTCTACGCCTCTAGTACATCTCTTTTGGCTATCCCAGTAATGTAAACGGCTGCTTGTCAGGCGCCGTCTGGGTACGTGCGAATTAGAGACGTTGATAAGTCTCTTTAAAATTTCTTACTGGTAGAGATGTAAGCGGGTGCTGCCAGGCGCGACCTATTCCTACCGTCACCCCAAATAATAGCGGAGAGATAGAGGGGTACGTTTAAGATTGTCAGGTGTCGATATTGTCAGGTCAGTCAATGCTGCGCTTCGAGTACGTGTGGTGTCCTTTTCGGTTGAAACACCTTAATGCCAGGTTTAATACGGTGGGTTAGTGAACGCGATGCGAATACTGCAGGATAGATTCGGAACAATTCACAGGAAGTGTTTGTCAGTCTTTTCGTGCAAAATTCGTTTGATATGATAGCCACTATTGAGTAAGCGCAACGAGAGTCGGACTAGTAACATCGATTTCTGAGAGCTTGTGACGCCCTCCAGTAGTTTGGCAACCAGTGTAGAATGGTAACCAGCGTGTGCCCCATTTCGCCAATCGTAACAAGCTGTCGCGATTCGCATCTCGATTCTAAGTCCTCTTACCCTCTTCCAATCGTCCACTCTCTTCCCCCTTTCCCTCTCTTCCCCTTTCCCCTGCGTCCTTCTGCTCTTGTGCCTGTGCGTTCTTGTTACCAAATGTCGGATGACTTTCACGTAGTAACGGATTGCGAGGAGCAAAATGTCAGCGCCGGTCTCGGTGCAAGCAGCAACATTCTCGGAGAGTCTAATAAAGGGAACATTGCTCCAAACTCCAGCGCTGGCGGTGCTGGCGACGATGCCGCGGGGAAGCCAGCGCGTAGCGCGCGGTTCTCAGAGAAAGTCGTCGAGGCGCGGACGCGCGAGTTAATCGACGTGTTGGACAGCCTGCGCACCGCGGGAGAGGCGAATCTCGAGTCGCTCGCGCTGAGCAACGAGTGTATCCGGGAAGACGGCGTAGATTGCGGCGACGACCGACAATGGCGGGTAAGCGACAACAGGCAAGCGGGGAAGGGCAAGGGAAGGAGGAGAGTAAGGAGCACCGAGTGTTGTACCGCAAGGGCCCTGAGGCACTGCCTGCCTTTAAATATCTAAACCAGTTCTCCCCGCTTCGGCCTTCCCCTTGCTCCTGTTTCGCAGTTGAAGGAAGAGGGAAAGGAGCACCGTGTGCTGTACCGCAAGGGCCCGGAGGGATGCGCCTAAACACCTAAACCATTTCCTCCCTCCTCCCGTCTCCCTTTGCCCTCACCCTCGTTGCCCATCGCGCAGTTGAAGGAGGAGGGAAAGGAGCATCGAGTGTTGTACCGCAAGGGCCCCGAGGGCACGCCGCTGCACGAGATCTGCCTCGAAGGCATCATCCATGGCCCTCTTGACACCTGTACGTGCCACAGCCTGCCACGTGTCGCTTTTCCGCTGCTGACACGTATCTGGCTTTCCGTGTGAAGTGAGTGACATCCGCGAGTGACATCCGTGAGTGACACCCGTGCTTTCGCTTATCACATTTTCCCTTTCCCCTCCCCCCCCCCCCCCCCGGTTTTCTTCTCCCGCCCGCCCCTGACCATCGTCTCTCCCGTTACTGTCTGCGTCTTTCTTGTGTCATGCTGCAGTGCTGGCAGTGGTGTGGGAGGTCCCGTTCTTCAAAGACTGGTAAGAAAAACAAAGCCACCTTCTTTTCAACTTCCAACCCCTGCTCCCTTCCAACCTCCTCCCCTTCCCATTTCCTTCCCCCCTCCCGTTATTGCAAACCCCTCCCCCAACCCCCCCTCGCATACTCCCTCCTCCTCCCTCCTCCCAGACACCTTCCCTCTCCTCCCGCTCCTGGTTCTCCCGAGTTTTTTCTGCTCTTTCTACCTTCCCGTTCCTTTCCACATGCAAATGATGACATGTTGAGCAGCATTGCAATCCGCGTCCAATCCATTTCTCACCCTTGGGATGCAGCAAAAATTAGTGCCACGTCATTCATAGACACGTCATTCGATGCCACGTTACCCCATGCCACGTCATCCCGTGCAGGTGGCCTCAGTTCAGCGTGCCGCCCTTCAAGGTGCTAGAGTCCAAATTCGCCCACCGCATCACTCCGGGCCTAGAACTCAGCTACCTCCAGTGAGTCATGGTGTTGAATTCATCGTGATGCCTATAGCGGGTGGTGGGGATGTCGATAGCGAGTCAGAAGGGGTCGATAGCACTTGGTGATAATTGAATCGAGTCATGCTATGGCCTCAGTAGGTTGATATGTTACTTCCACCTCCTTCTCCCAGAGTTGAGTTAACTCATACCTCTCCTTGCCTCCCACCCTTCCTTAACCCTCCTCCCGCCCCACAGGTTCAGGTCGCCATGGCCCTTCGCCACGCGAGAGCTGCTCTTTTTGCCTTCATGGTTCACCACAGGTGTGTTGACTCAACTCATACCTCCTCTTGCCTCCTGCCCCACCCCTTACCTGATCCTCCCCCCTCACAGGTTCAAGTCGCCATGGCCTTTTGCCACGCGAGAGCTGCTCTTTTTTGCCTTCATGGTTCAGGACACTGCCACAGGCCTCTTTGTGGCCTCCGTGCTCTCGGTGAGTGGTGGTGCTTGTGCTGACTGAATGGTGGTGCTTGTGCTGACTGAATGGTGGTGCTTGTGCTGACTGAATGGTGGTGCTTGTGCTGACTGAATGGTGGTGCTTGTGCTGACTGAGTGGTGGTGCTTGTGCTGACTGAGTGGTGGTGCTTGTGCTGACTGAGTGGTGGTGCTTGTGCTGACTGAGTGGTGGTGCTTGTGCTGACTGAGTGGTGGTGCTTGTGCTGACTGAGTGGTGGTGCTTGTGCTGACTGAGTGGTGGTGCTTGTGCTGACTGATTGGTGGTGCTTGTGCTGACTGAGTGGTGGTGCTTGTGCTGACTGAATGGTGGTGCTTGTGCTGACTGAGTGGTGGTGCTTGTGCTGACTGAGTTGTGGTGCTTGTGCTGACTGAGTTGTGGTGCTTGTGCTGACTGATTGGTGGTGCTTGTGCTGACTGAATGGTGGTGCTTTCGGTAGTGCATTCAGTGCGTGTGTGTGTGGGTGCTCTTGTGTGTGGTTCGGTTTTGTTGCTGGCAAATTATTCCACCCCCCTTTCTGTTGCTTCCCCTTCCCCCACCCCTACATGCTCTGTTCCTCCAGCCACCCGACGACATATCACACATGGACCCCGAAACAGCAGCCCTGCACCCATCCGCTATCCCCTCTATAGCTCCAGGCTGTGTGCGCATGAGCGTGGGCGGCGGTTTTGCAGGCCAGGCCCTGGGGAGGGGGCGCAGCTACTTGCGAAGCATGCCCTCGCCCCGTGTGTGTGTGCTTTGTCAGGGGCAAATCCGGAATGTAATGAGGGAGGGCATGACCTGGGGGGCGGCCGCTGCTACTTCCGGTGAGCTCTTGAGGTCACTCTTGAGAAGTTTGAGGGGTACGCCTTGCCACTGTTGTTATTCCTGGCGTTGTTTCTGCAACTTGCGAGACAGGACCTTGAGGGCGGCTGCAGCTAGTGTTATTTCTCCTGGCTCTGTGTCTGTATCCCCTGTGGCTCATCGCCTTCGTTGCCTCTGAAAGTACCACCTGCACCAACAATACACCCTCACCCTTCCTGTCTTTGCCCCATCCCCTCCCTCTTCCCCCCCCCCCCACAGCGGTGCATGCACGCTGGATATGAAGTTCGATCTCATGCCCCCCTGGCTCATCAATTTCGTTGCCAGGCAGCTAGCCGGCTCTGGTTACCACCAACGACCCCTTCACGCCTTCCTGTCTCTGCCCCACTCTCTTCCTGTCTCTGCCCCATCATCTCCCCTCCTCTCCTCCCCCAACAGCGGTGCATGCACACTGGATATGAAATTCGATCTCATGCCTCCGTGGCTCATCAATTTCGTTGCCCGGCAGCTAGCCGGCGCTGGTTACCACCTGCTCTGTCACGAGGTAGACACAATCGTTAAAGCCACCGCTGCTGCTGCTGCTAGTGAAAAATGCGACAAGAAATGTGACAAGAAGAATGGGCGCGGGGCGTTTCAGCAGCTTCTGGCCTCCGATCCGGTCTATGTGGGTCTGAGGAAAGCGATGGAGGAATACAGAAGGGGTAAGGCGGAGGAAGAGGAAAGGAGGAGGAGGGAAGGGAGTGAGGAGGAGGGTAGGTCGTTGAGGGAGTTGGGGGAGAAGGTGGAGGAGGAGGTGGAGCGGCTTGTTTCGTCTTTATCTAAGAGGGAGAGTGTGCTCGGGCCTGAGGAGGCAGAGAAGGCTCTGCTACAGCTGGAGGCGGCTGCTGCTTCGGCTGTAGCGCTGACTCGACCTTCCGTCGAGCCTCTTGGTTCGCAGGCTAAGGACAGGTCCGGAAGCAGGTATGGGAACGGGTTGGCTGCAAGTGAAGCATCTGCCGCTGCTGCAACGATTCTAGCTGCTGCTACAGCTGTTACAGCTGCTACAGCTGCAGCTAATGCTGCTGAGGGCCCTCCCAGTGCCCCCACTTCCTTCAGCTCTGTTACCCAATCCTTTTCATCCGGACCTCTTCCTTCGGCTCGGCTTGGAGGTCTGGAAGCTGGAGAGGGCATGGCGAGCCTGCTTCGGGAGTCCTCCTCTGTACGTTCAGGGCCGCTTCCAAGTATCCGAACCGTCACTGGCAGCACCAGCAGCGGCAGCTACGGTGTCATTAATAACCTCCGGGCAGGTGAAATTCCAGATATGCTCAACAGCAGTTACAGCGTGACCAGCAGCAGAAGCTCCTTTGGTTGCGGTGACAGTGCCAGTGCCAGCGGCAGCAGCAGCCAGAGCAGCAGCGGTAGCAGCAGCCCGAGCAGTTACCCGGGGCTTTATCACAGGGACCCCGCAATTTTCCGGGCGGTTGCGACGCTGGATAAGGCGATTCTATTCGTGCGTGCACGGGCGGCAGCAGCAGCAGCAGCAGCAGAAGAGGGTTCTTCGGATTCTCACGGCATTGTCAAGCATGAGAAGCATGTCACAAGCGTGGCTGATGCAACTGGGACAAAGAGAGAAGCCTTCAGTTGCTCACCTTCACAGCCAGATGGTTTCCAGGAGGAGGTGGTGCTGGGTGATGGGGAGACAGGGAACAATGCACTCATGGGCAGTTCTGTTGGGCCGGTCAAGTCTGCCGCTCGGCCTGTCACAGTTGCAGGAGAGTCGGGTGGGAGTGGCAAAGATGCTGCACTGGGATGCTTAGAAAATGGTAATGCTAGTAAGGCTGGAAAGCCGAAAGATGGTGGGAAGAGGGTTTCCCTTTCAAGAATCGGCAAGAGATTCTTAGGATTGAGATTTTTACGCACTAGCAAGATTCTATAGGCTCCTGGGTAGGTTATGTATAGCTGAGGCAGTAAACCCGTGCTTTGTTTTGCATTTATTATGTAGTAAAGAAGGTTTTGAGTCGTGCTGAATAGTACACCAAAAGAAGAGCTGTTCGAGCACGTGACATATGAAGGCTTCTACGTCATTTGTGGTTTATGAGTTGCGAAGATGCAAAACTGTGAACCATGAAATAGATTTGCACTTGAAATTTTCATGAGTAAAAGAATGGACTGTAGCCGTAATGCCCCTTACCAGAAACATCAACCATTGTTATCAATCACCAGGCCTAACCCCACAAGTCATTCATAACGTGTACTTTGCATTCATAGGCCGGTGGCATGAACGACACCACTGTTCACTGCGCGATGCGTGTGGAAAATACGCGATTCGAGGCTAACGGTGCAAAAGCTAGGTGCTTTGTTTCGAATTGAAGGTTCGGAATCACCCCACTCGCCTAGCCTCACCTCACCACACCTCGCCACCGCCACCGATGTCTCCGTGTGTAGCAAAACAAGGTTTTTTGTGATTGGTGTACGTTCGGTTCGGGTACGTCATTGCCACCCGTCAAGCGTCACACATGTCGCGCTGTGCTGACCTGATGTCCTTTGTCCGAGCCTAGCCCTCCACCCGAATCTACCTGGGCTTGTCGCCATCCCGCCGCTAGTTTGTGCTGTTGTGCTAAACTCTATAATCACACTTAACTAAGTATTGTACCTAGATTTCGCCGCAGAGTCAACTGTACAGCAGAGAAAAGACCTAGGATTACCGCGCGGCTCCCAGGTTCGTCCACCGGCAGTTTTTTCAGGCGCTCCCTCCGTCCGACCATAGCGACGAAACCAAGGCGATACATGCTTGTAGCTGCCCAGTTGTGCCTTCAAGTTCCTTCCAAGCCATCACATAACCCGTCAACTTCGGCAGTCAGTCTCAGCAGTCTTGATACAAAGTCGACCATTGATTGTTGAGGAGCCTCACTCTCACAGGTGATCCGTCATTAGCCACTGTGGGACCGCTCGGGACGATAATAGGCAAATTCTCACACACGATCGTACAAACCGCGGAATACAACCTGGAAACTGGACTCGGACCACGTAGCATTCCCACAAAAGTAACTTATTTTCTGTAGCGCGGGACGCGAGGAAAGCCAATTCGACAAAAGAAAGCCAACCCATGGCGCTAGCAGAAGGCATCGACCTACTCGATCAGGCGCTCGAGGAGCCCACATGGAAGGACCTCGATAAAGTCACGGCTCTTATAAGCAAGCAGCTGGACGTGAAAAATGGCTCAGCAGCAGCAGCAGTAGCAGGTGGATCGAGCAATAGCGTGGCGGACTATTGGGCAGCGGAGACCGTTAAGCTTCTGGAAGATCTTAAGAGTGTCAGCGTGGAGGCTCTCGCAACTACCGATCCTGGCGACCGCAATGCGTGGAAGGTACTTTCTTGTTTCCACTACTTGCCGTGTTTTGAGTCGTGAAAAAACCACATCGAAGGTTCTTCCTTCTTCCCTAGCCCTAGAGCGTTTACTAGAAACTCTCGGATTGCGCCACTACAGCGCGAAGCGTTTGATGTCTGCATTTCATCATCCCGCAATCATCGCTATCTGCATGTATGTCCATGCTTCCCCCGCAGATGTGCGAGGAGGGTCCGGAGCACCGCGCGATGCTGCGCAAGGGCCCGGAAGGCACGGCGATAAACGCGCTGTGCATGGAGGGGCGCATCGACAGTCCCGTGCACGCCGCCGTCGCCATGACGCGCGACGCGGGGTTCTTCAAGGAGTGGTGGCCGCAGGGCGACATGCCCGTCTACCGCATCGTCGAGAACCGGTACCTCGCGCGCGTCGGCGACGGTTTCGATATTACGTACATGAAGTGAGTATATCAGTAGATAAAGCCGTCGGCGCCGCCTTCGATGTTACCTACTTGAAGTAGTATCTTGGTAGATGAAGTGAGTGTATCGGTAGATAAGGCCGTCGGCGACAATTTCGATAATACGTACATGCTCTGCGTAGTTCGTTAGACGAAGTGAGTGTATCGGTCGGCTATCCATTCTTGAAAATTAGCAAGACTAATTTCGGTACCCTTCCCCGTCAACCCGCAAGCTAACCACAATCCTCCTCCTGTCCCCACCTCTCCTCTCCTTTCGTTCGTGTACTTGCGCTTTTACCTCCAGGTTCAAGGTGCCGTGGCCCTTTCCGTGGCAGGAGTTCGCGATGATCTTCTTCACCATTTACGACGCGGACACGGGCGTCGCCACCACTGTCGTCCGCACGGTGAGTGTTCCCCCGGCTCTCTCTTCCCTCCCCCCTCTCCTCCCGCCCCATCCTCACCATTTTTCAATCAACAACTTCCCACTGTATTTGTCGCTGCTTGTTGCCTGCACGTCTCACTCTCCCTGCTCTGCCCCCCACTCCCTCCCCCTCTCCCCCACTCCCCGCTCCCCGCTCCCCACTCCCATTTCCCGGCCACCCCCCAGCTTCCAGAGGACAACAGCGAAATCGACTCATCCATTCACGGCTTTTCCCGTGACATGGCGCCTGCACAGCTCACTCAATCCCCCGACTTTCTCCCCACTCTCTCTACCCCCCCGCTCCCCGTTCCCTTCACCCTTCCAATACCCAGCTTCCAGAGGACAACAGCGAAATCGACGCATCCATTCACGGGTTTTCCCGTGACATGGCGCCACCAGTCCCCTCGGGAATGGTCCGCATGGCCATCAACGGCGGATTCTCCATCAAAGATCTGGGCCGTTCGCGCTGCCACTTCCGGTCGATCTTCACCTGTGATCTGAAGCTCCCTGCGATGGTGGTTAACTTCGTTACCAAGGAGTTCGGAGGGGTGCTGTTCAATCTGTTTAGGAAAGAGGTTGAGACGGATTTGGCAGATGAGGGGCAGAAGGGGGTGGAGTTTAGGAAGGTTCTGAAAGAAGAGAAGCTGTATGGCCGGATTGAAGCAGCTATGGATGAGTACAGGGCAAAGGCGGCCGGAGGATTGGGGATGGGAGAGAAGGGTGTTGGAGAGAATGGGGTGGAGGGAGAGGAAGGGGAGGAGGTGGAGGAGGAAAAGAAGGTGCTGGTTGCTACGGCGTCGTTTGTGGAGGGAGCTACTGCGGAGGCACACAGACCTGCCATGGCAGCTGCATCAGCAGCAGCGGCAAGGGTGACTCACACAAATGGAGGGGAGGAAGAGGAGGAAGAGGTATTCGAGGATGCAGAGGATCAGCTGCTGGTTACCCTGGAAGACTCAGAACCTGCTTCTTACCCGCACCAGCAGAAGCACCCTCATCCTCCTGTTCCTCCTGCGTACGCCCCGTTCTCATCCCAAGACCCGGCTATCGCTGCAGCCTTTGCAGCAGCAGCAGCGCTGGCAGGCGCAGGTGGGACTGGTGCAGGTGGTAACCCCATTGCTGGCTCTGCTAGCTCCGGTGCTGCCGAGCCTGCTCTGACCCCGGACGTGCTCCAAGCCATGGCAACCCTAGAGCAGGCGCTAGAGTCGCTGCGAGCCCGAACCTCTGCTGCCCTCTCTGCTGCTTCTCACGTCGGCGGACCAGGAGGAGGGATGTACCCAGGGCAGTATGGCCACGCCTATCCTCCCCCTCCCCACCCTGTCTATGGTGCTGTGCCTGGGTATGGGCCAATGGTGGGGGAAAAGGGCGGCAGACTTGTGGGTGCTCCTATGGTGAACCCCCCGCTACTGCCGTATTATGCCGCCCCGTTCCCGCTCAATGAGATGCAGCGGTTTGCCGGGCCAGTTCCTGTGGTTGGGAGGATGGACGGGTATGGAAGGGTTTCCGGGCGGCGAGCGAACGGAGCGAGAGGGGGAGGTGGGAGGTATAAGGGTGAGGGAGGAGTGATGGTTGCCCCTGGGAAGGGGGGGATGGGCGGAAGGGGAGGAGGAGAGGGAGGAGGAGGTGGGAAGATGAGCCGGAATGGGAAGCAGCAGCCTCCCTTCCATCCCTCGCAGCAGCAGATGATGGTATCGGGAAAAGCAGGTGCAGGAACAGGGAAGGTTGCTTCAACAGAAGCTCCTGTTATAGCCGCCGCTGCTCCTGCTGCAGCTGCTGCTGCTCCTGCTACAACCTCAACCCTCTGGTCGGCAGCTTCAGCCCTGTTTGGGCTTGCCACGTGTTGCACTGCCACTGGCCTGAGAAACGCCGAGGCAGCAGGGTACATTCTGCCTGAAGAGCTGCCGTCCGAGAGGTGGCGTGATGATGACGAGGATGACTATAACGAGTATGATTCTGAGGTGGATGAGGACGAGGGGTATTATGAGGGGTATGGAGGTGGTATGAATGGTGTTCCTGGGGGTTATGGAAATGGAGGGTATGGGAATGGGATGTATGGGCCAGGTGCTTATGGGGATGGTGCTTATGGTGGGAATGGTGGAGGTAGATTGGTGGATGAAAGGCAGGTGTGGAGAGGAAGAGCCATGGTTGGAAATATGGCAAGATGATTGGGTGTAGCTCGGTGTAGTGCAACACTTGTTTGCTACATGCTGTAACGCTCTCTATTACAAGCAATCACCAATTTATTTACCGTACTAGTCCTCAATGACTTCCGTTTCTTGCTGAATCTATATCAAGTAGCAGTGATATCAAAAGTGTAACGGCTTCAATTGTTTGGATTCAACGTTTATCGGGTACAAAATTCGTTGAATTTGTCGACCAGCAAGGGCCTAGGGGATTACGTGAGTGCTGCTTCCCCCAACCCAACAAACCTCGGGAATTACGCAACATTTTGGGGGAAGGATCTTGTTCTGTAGTGTTTTCCCAAATACGGTAGATTACATACATTCCTGGTTTCTGTTCCGCAGTCCCTACTGTGAACTGGCAGGGTCACGCGTGTTTCCCGTGCCTAATCTATCAGCGAAGTTTCGCGACTTACGGACGCCAGCTTGATCCGCGTATAGTCACACCCATCTGGATCAGCAATACTGCTGACCTTATTTCCGAACCTCCCGCTCGCCTCGAAACATGGAAGGCGGAGGGGGGGGTGGCGGAGGCCGTGAGTGGCGCCCGCGGGGGGGCGGCGGCGGAGGCCGTGGACGTGGAGGCGGAAGGAGGGGTGGCGGGGGGGCGTATGCGGGAGACAGTTGGGGGGACGGCGCGGGGATAGGCAGAGGGGGAACAGGCGGAGGGGGAAGAGGCGGAAGGGGTGACGGGGACGCGTCAGGCTGGGGTGGCGGAGGGAGAGGGGGGCGGGGCGGAAGCGGCGGAAGGTATGGGGGAGGGGATCAGCGCGGGTGGGGGGGGGACGGCGGAGGCGGAAGGCAAGGACGGGGAGGTGGGTTTGGCGGAAGATGGGGCGCGGGGGGCGGACGAGGGGGAAGGAATTACCAACAGCAGGCGGAGCAGCAGGGGGAGCAGCAAGCAGAGCAGCAGGCTCATCACTCAGCGCACGGGCAGCGTATGCAACAATCGCAGCTGGTTGACGGGCAGAATTTGGGTGCAACGGGCAGTGCAGGAATTTTAGGATCTGCCCCACATGCTCCCTCAGTGCCCCCTGGATTTGAGAAGCGGGCCAATCCGGTAGAAACGTCAGCTGCTACAGGCGGTACAGCCGCTACAGCCGCTGCTACAGCTGCTACAGCCTGTTCGTCTGGCCTCGCAGTCCCTCCCGGTTTCGGGCCCTCCCCCTCCCAACCATCCGCTTCCGCCTCTCCTGCTTTTCCGCCAGGTTTTGGCTCATCCTCGTTACAGGCTGCTTCTGTAAGAGCCCCTCCTGGATTCGCACCTCCCCAGGCTGTAGCAGCTCCTGCAGCATCAACGGCTGTAGCAGCGCCTGCAGCAGCATCAATGGCTGTAGCAACAACTCCAGAGGAGGAGGAGGAGCCGTTTTTGTCGTATCTGCCACAGGATGAGATACTAGCAGGTGGAGTTTTCAGGATGGGAGGTTTGGTAGGAGGTTTGGACGGAGGCTCGGCAGCAGGTCTGGCAGGGGTGGATTCGGGCGAGACTCAGAGGATGGTTGATCGGACGGTGGAGAGGCTTCGGGAGATGCTGAGATTGCCAGCTAAGCAGTTCTGGAGAACAGGTACGTGAGTGTGTGTGGGAGGGGGGAGGGGTGTTAAAAGGGGGAAGAGGGGGGTGTGGTCTGTGTAGGGGGAGTGTGTTTGTGCATCCTACCCTATACCCATGCGCGTACCCCATTCCCCCTTTTCCCCTTTCCCCACCTTTCCTCCTTTCTCCCATTTCCACTTTCTCCGTTCTCCCTTTTCCCCCTTTCCCCTTTTCTCTCCTTTCCCCCTTTCTCCCCTTTCCCCTTTCCCTACATCCCCCCCTCCTCTCAACACTTTGTTTCCCCTCACCCAGTTGCCCGCACACCTTCGCTCGTGGCCTTCTTGGATTCCTACGTCCGCTTCCGCTCCCGATGGTTAAACCTCCTCCTCTCCGCTGCCGCTCAAATTTCACCTATTTCTTTCCCGACTAACCCCTCCCCCCCCCCTTGTTTGCCCCAGTTGCACGCTCGCCCTCTCTCGTGGCCTTCTTGGATTCCTACCTTCGCTTCCACTCCCGATGGTTCGATCTTCTCCTCTCAGCCGCTGCTGCTGCTGAAACTGGTGGGCCTTCGAGAACAGCAGGAGCAGACGGAGTGGATGGGGGAGGGGGAGGAGGAGAGGGGAGTCTGGGGACAGGGAGGGGAGTGGTGGTGGGGGATGAGGAACTGTGTCGGCTGGTGTTCCTGCTGCTGCTGCGCATGTGAGTTAATGTTGCCATGTGCGTCAGCGGGTATTGTGGTGCGCGTGCATGTCACAAGCATGAAAGTGCTATGCGTAAGCATTTCAACAAGGGCGATTTCATGTCTACTCTTGTTGACTTTTGAGTCGACTCAAAAGTCAACTCGAATCTTTCATTTCCTGCACAACTCTTTTCCTTTACTTTCACATGAAATGGGATCGAAATGGGGACCTTTTTTTCTTGCTCCCATTTTCCAGCTATTTCTTTATCTGGTTACTTCTCCTGTACATGCTACTAACAGGTCGTCTAATATCGAGTCCAGAGCCAAACCATCAGAGCAGCTTCAAGCCAAGGAACACGCACGTATGTATGCCGCTCAAATCCACTTTTAAGCTGGCTATTTAAAAAGCCACTTGTGCATATAAGGCCTCTGGCCTCCTCTCTACCAGAGCAGCTTCAAGCCAAGGACCATGCACGTATGTATGCCGCTCCCAACCATGCCTTTCCAACGCCATGCGATTCAACCCCCCCTTTTTTTTTTGTCATTGGCCACTTGCTCATGCGCTTACTTGACGCAACCAACCTCATGAGTCAAATGCGTCAATTATGCGCATCCAGCCACGTGGGATTTAGACATGTCTCAGTGAGCCACGTGGCTGCTGCTGCCTTTGGAAAGGCCAAGTGCCTCTCTCCTCTTTCTCCATCCCCTCTTCCCCCCACTTCTCCCTACCTCCTTACAATTGAAATTAGTTGGTTTCGATCCGCAGCAAGCCTACTAAGAGTTTACTAATGGTCTATAGAACTTCTCCCTTCTTCCTCACAATAATTCTCCCTTCCACCTCCACACTCCTCGTTCTTACGCAAACCTCCTTGTCTCCATGCGTCTGTTTGATGCACCCAAGCTCATGGACGTGGCTGCTGTCTTTGGGAAGGCCAATCGTCTCTCTTTTCCATCTCCCCTTCTTGTCACCCCACACGCCCTCCATCCACTCCACCCTCTCCCCCCTACCCAGACCTACTTCTCTCCATGCGTCTGTTTGATGCACCCAAGCTCATGGACGTGGCTGCTGTCTTTGGGAGGTCAAACCGCGCTGCAACACAGCAGCTGGTAAGTCTACCTCCGCACACTGTTCTGCCCCGCTTCACCGCATTTCACCTCTTGGTTACCCGTCTTCACTGCACTGCACCGCTCACTTAATTGTCCCCCATCACCGCAGCGCCCCTTACTTGATCACTCACCCCATTGCACCACCTACTTTAGCACCCCACCTCACTGCACTGCACTTGCTTCCTTGGTTTCCCTGCATCACCGTATTGCACCACTTCTTCTGCTGCTCCTGCTGGTGGAGGCGGATCGTGTGGGTACAGACAGGCTAAATGCATCCCGTGCTGCTCTGCACCCCTTGTCACCACATTGCACCTCTCCCCACCACCAGGTGTGCCGGGTGCTGGTCTCTCAGCCTCTCTTCCGAGCCGATCTCTCGTCTTCTCTACTACAACTGCTGCGGGTGGTTGAAGAGATGGTGACAAGGGCGTGCGGGCGGATGGAGGAGGTAAGTGGATGGAGGAGTACGGATTGGATAGGGTAGGGGAAGGTCTTTGGCTCGCGTCACTGCTGCAGCTGCTGCGGGTGGTTGAGGAGATGGTGGCGAGGGCATGTGGTCGGATGAAGGAGGTAAGTGGATGAAGGAGGTAAGTAGTGCGTTTAATGGAAATGGGGGGAGTTTCTGATTTCGTAGGCACAGCTGCTGCTGCAGCTGCTGTGGGTGGTTGAGGAGATGATGGCGAGGGCATGTGGTCGGATGAAGGAGGTACAGATCACATAGTGTTACTTTGTCCGTGAGAGGAAGTTTCGTTGTTTAATTGTTTTATTTTTAGGCAACAGAGGTAGATGCAGACATCCCCCCATCTTCTTGTTTTCTCCCATCTTCTTGTTTTCTCCCATCTTCTTGTTTTCTCCCATCTTCTTGTTTTCTCCCATCTTCTTGTTTTCTCCCATCTTCTTGTTTTCTCCCATCTTCTTGCTTTCTCCCATCTTCTTGTTTTCTCCCATCTTCTTGTTTTCTCCCATCTTCTTGTTTTCTCCCATCTTCTTGTTTTCTCCCATCTTCTTGTTTTCTCCCATCTTCTTGTTTTCTCCCATCTTCTTGTTTTCTCCCATCTTCTTGTTTTCTCCCATCTTCTTGTTTTCTCCCATCTTCTTGTTTTCTCCCATCTTCTTGTTTTCTCCCATCTTCTTGTTTTCTCCCATCTTCTTGTTTTCTCCCATCTTCTTGTTTTCTCCCATCTTCTTGTTTTCTCCCATCTTCTTGTTTTCTCCCATCTTCTTGTTTTCTCCCATCTTCTTGTTTTCTCCCATCTTCTTGTTTTCTCCCATCTTCTTGTTTTCTCCCATCTTCTTGTTTTCTCCCATCTTCTTCTTTTCTCCCATCTTCTTTTCTCCCATCTTCTTCTTTTCTCCCATCTTCGCCTTCTGTCTCGACTCTCACACATTCACCCCTCTTTTTCCACCCTCTCGTCTCCCTGTTTCCCTCCCCCACCCACTTCTGCAGCACAGCAAGGCATCATCGCCACCTCCTTCCTCTGAGATCACCGAGGCCCTTCACTACCTCTGTGACTTTGCCTTCTCTCTCGATGCGTTCTTTGACGCCTACCTGCCCGCTCCGCTGCTCCTCCTGCAAGCAACCACAACAACAACGAGAACAGCATCTAGAAGGAAAGCAACACAAGGCACAGCAGCAGCAGAAGCAAGTTCTCCTGTACGGCTTCTCTCTGTGTTGGCTCGTATTCACGACTCCTTTCTCCCTCTGCTCCTCCTCCTCGCCTCCTCCACCTCCTTGTTAGTAGCAACAGGTCAGTACGCCCGTATCGTACTACGCAACCTCAACCTTACCCCCAACCTATCCCTTTTTCCCCCACCCGCCTCCTTTGGAATACGTCATGGATCAGCGACAGACGCTACGCGAGCGCGAAGTCAGTACGCCCGTAACGAACTGCGCAGGGCCCACCATCACTGTTGCTGGTGGTGGTGCTGGTGGTGATAATACTGCTGGTGGTGGTAGGAATAGCAGTAGCAGGGGTAGCAGAAATAGAGGCGGCAACAGTGGTAGTAGCAGCAGTGATGGTTTGCCACCCTGCCCTGTGTGTGATTCTGGAGTCAAGCCGGGCAGGGGAAAACAATCTGGGTGCCCGTTGTGGGACGGGTTGCCTGGGCAGAAAATCAATTTCGGGCAGTTGCTGCTGGAAGAGATTCTTGCGGTGCATGGAGTGAGCTCGGGCAGCTCGGGCAGCAAAGATGTGGATGGCGTGGCATGGATCCCTCTGCTTCGGGCAGTTGATGCTTCTTTTGGTCTTCGGTCAGCAATCTATGAAGAGAAAATGAAAGGTGGGTGAGGAAAAAAGATGGGGAATAGGAGGCCGGTTTTAGCCTCGTTAGGTGTGTGTTCAAAGGTTTTTGTCCTGAATGGTGTGGTTCTTTGTTGGGCTATATATCTACCTATCCCTTAGAAGGTTCTTGTCTTACTTCGTGTTTCATAGAGCTGCTTGTGTGGCTGTGTGTGTTCAGCTTGACGTGTGGTTGTACTTTTTCAGTCAGTGCCCCGTTCCGCCAAAATAGCACCCATCCAGTGTTTTCTCTCTCCCTTTCTTCTGTGTTATGTCATCCTTCCCATTCCCCAGGCAAGCTTCCCCTCGACAACACGCAGTTTGATACAATCTCTGACATAATCGGCCCTCCTATCACCCTGCCACCACCCCTCACTTCCTCCTCCTCTGACCCACCTGCTACCAGCAACATCACTCCAGCCAACCACCCCCCTACAGCAGAAGACTTCCCCTCCCTCACTCCCTCCCTCTCTTCCGCCGCTGATGCTGAGTCAGCAGCCCTTGAGCAATCAAAGATCTCGCTCGTGCGAGATATTTTCCCGGATTTCGGGGAGGGGTTCGTGGGGGCGTGTTTGGAGGTGTGCGGGGGAGATGCAGAGGCAGTGATTCAGCATGTACTGGAGGGGAGTTTACACCCGGACTTAGCTAAGTTAGACACTCAGTTGAAGGTCAAACCAGGGAAGGCTGGTGGGGGTGGAAAGGGGGATGCTGCTGCTGCTGCTGCTGCTGCTGGTGCTGGTGGTGGTGCTGGTGCTGTTAGTGCTGCTGGTAGTGGTGCTGCAAGTGGGGCAGCAGGTAAAGGAAAGGGCAAGGCAGTGGTTGCAGAGGGAGGACAGCAAGCCCAGCTCCTGGTTGGGAGGGGGGAGCAGCAGCAGCAGTGCAAGGTATGCCTACAGTCGCTCGCACTCCTGCTTGTTCTGAGCCCACATTTTCTGCTACAGCAGCTGGTGCTCCTGATACTCCTTCATCCACAATGGCTGCTACAAACGCTTTCACTTCTGCTGCTACTGCTTTCACATTTGCTGCTACAGCCACTGGCGTTCCTGCTGCTCCTGCATCCACATTTGAGGCTACATATGCTGGCGATTCTGATGCTCCTTCAACCACCATTGCTGCTTCAGCTGCCAACATTCCTGCTGCTCCTTCACCCACAAGTGCCACTACAGCTGCCCACATTCCTGCTGCTTCTGCTTCCACATGTGCCGTTACAGGTGCTGGCACTCCTGCTGCTCCTGCATCCACTATTGTCACTACAGCAGGTTCGTGGCATGGCTTTCTTTTCTCAGAAAATTATAGCTCGGTCGGTATGAGAGACCAGCAGCAGCAGCAGGAGCAGCAGCAGCAGCAGCCGTGGCAGAAATTTCAGCAGCTTTATATCGAGTCAGAAGCTTGTTATAGTCACAATAGGCTTGAATGTGCCTAAAACGAAAGATAGAGAGCACAGACGGATTTCTGCACAGCGGCTTCAAATGTTGATAGCGTTCTGCTCACAGCTGCAAATGACTTGATTCAAATTGGATCTGGAGCGTCTTGACGTCGTCTACAATTAGCAATTTAGATTGCACGATTTGATAAAGAATTGACGACACAGCGTCGGTTTGAACGAACGGTACTATGGCAGCCACTATAGTCTTAGAACACAAGATAGGAAGAGTTACGAGTTGGGAATGACTCCCAGCTCCTACAAACCCCAAGAGCCGAGGTACAGTGATGTGGAACAGTGCCACACTGTCCCCAACCACGAAGGGTCTCGAAACTACCCTTCACTAGGGCCTACACCAAGTGAAATGTTACACTACACAAAGTAATGTAACTATCTTCAATATCTTGAGGTGTACCCTTTTGGCAAGCTTCGAAATCACTTGAGGCTTGACACCAAGGCTCGGGCTCTTCATCACAAACTCATCCTTGAGTTCTTGATGGGTCTGCTGCACACACCTGCGACACGCCGAACGTTCGACACAGGACAAAATAGAAACCGCGCACGACAAAATAGAAACCGCGCGCGAGACACAAACGACCGCGTAACACGCGTCTAGCGATAACTCGCTATTGACTCGACACACACACTCGACATCATGACTCAACATTCACACACAATTATAAGCATGAAATATATATTATCCCATGCCCTCATACCATTCCATACACACACACATTCACGCACACGGACAACAAGCCGAGTGCAAACCGTAGGGTTGCACCAACAAACTCCCCCTCGGATTGTTGGCCTTAGGATATGTTGCTCTCTCAGTTCAGAGCCATCCCAGCCAGCTTGCAACACTTCCAATGCTGCTGCTCCACCAGCCTCTTGGTCATCATGTCAGCCGGCTGCCCCGTGATCTTCACGTAGCGCAACTCAACTTCACCCGCGGTTACCATGCTCCTCGTCCAATGCCACTTCACCCTCATGTGCTTCGTGAGTCCATGCAACACAGGGTTCTTAGCAAGAGCAATGGCACCCTGGCTATCACAGTACAGTGGGGTAGGTCCTTGCTGCTCCTCCCCCAATTCAGCCAACAAACGCCGCTGCCACACAATCTCCCGTATGGCACGGAAGAGTGCCATGTACTCGGACTCCACTGAGCTCAAAGCTTGGTCAACCTGCTTCTTGCTCTCCCAAGCAGTTGGGCCTCCACCAACACAGCATATGAAGCCTCCCACACTTGTCATGTCCTCTGGTTCTGATGCATATGAAGCATCCGAGTAGGCGGTGAGGAACAAACGCCCAGGTTCAACACCATCCGCGCCCTTTTGGCGCCTTTGTGCCGCCGCCGAGTATTGCAGCCCAACGGTCGGTGTTTGGCCAAGATACTTGGCCACCCTCATTCCAGCTGCTACCTGCTCCTCATTAGGGCATTGCACAACCCTAGCCAGCTGCCCGGTAGCAAACGCGACGTCCGGTCGGGTGTTTACCGCCGCATACATGAGGCTGCCCACCAACGAGTGAAATCGGCGCCTCTCCTCTTCACCAACGCTCTCCTCCTCTGGTCCCTTCACACACTTGAACCCAGAGGGAAAGGGTGTAGCCACATGGCCTTCACTCTGCCCAAAGTTGGCAGCCAATGCCTCCAGGTACTTTCGTTGATGCACCCGCATGCACCGCTTCTCCACATCTCGTTCGATGTGGAGCCCAAGGTAGAAGCTCACGTCACCAAGGGCCTTGCACTTGAACTTGTCTTGAAGCTTCAGCATCACCTCCTTCACAAGGTCAGAAGAGGGTGAGAAAATGAGGATGTCATCCACATAAACCACCATGAAACTCCTCCGCTCCCCCTCGCCAAGCATGAACAAGGAGTGATCGGCCGTTGAGGGAGTGAAGCCGATCCCCTCCAACACTTCGCGCAGGTTCATGTACCATTGCCTAGGGGCCTGCTTCAGCCCATAGAGGGCCTTCTTCAGCTTCCACACTCTGCCACTACCATCATCAAACCCCTCTGGCTGCGCCATAAAAATCTCCTCCTCAAGGATGCCGTTAAGGAATGCCGTTACGATGTCCATTTGCTTTACTACCCATCCTTTGATGGCGGCTCCCGCGAATAGGGTTCGCAGCGTCGTCGGCTTCACCACAGGGGCAAACAGCTCCTTGAAGTCCACCTTCTCCTTCTGCTGGTACCCCTTGGCTACAAGCCTAGACTTGTAGCGCTCGATCTTGCCGTCGGCATCCGACTTGATTTTGAAGAGCCACTTGGACGTTATCGCCGTACGCCCCTCCGGTAGCTCCACCAATTCAAACGTGTCATTCTCCTCGATGCTCTTCAGCTCACTCTCCATGGCCTTCTTCCACTCCTCAGCATCACTACTCTCCAAAGCCTCCTTGAGAGTTGCTGGTTCTCCCGGCATCTCCACCGGAGAGAAGAACGCGAAGGCACACTCCTCGTAGTCACTCTCCTCGTCGTCTCCGACCATCATTGCCGCTCCGGCCAGGGCTGTCTTGCCCTGCTTTCCCGGCGCATCATAGGTCAGCCTATTAGGGGGTTGAACTCTCCTCTTCCCCCTTCCTTCCTCCTCAGCTGCAGGGACTTGAAGGCCTTGGCGTTGCTGCGGTGTGGCTCGAATCCGTGGAGCACTCGTAGTACGGGAAGGGAGTGACGGTGCACGCTCGCTCACTTGCTGCACCTCCTCCTCTTCTTCCTCTGCATCATTGGCCTCCTCTCCCCCATTCACAAGGGAGGATTGCCTTGTGGTTGTGCTGCCGCTGCTCAGCTCCAAAGGCAGCTCCACATGCTCCAAACCGGAACTCTTCACCTCCCCAAACCGCACGCCTATCTTCGCCTCATTCTCCGCCTTCCAATCCTTGTACATGAAGTTCTCCATGAACTTGCAGTCCCTGCTCACCAAGAACTTCTTGGTGAATGGGTCCCAAAGAAGCCATCCCTTGCTGTTTTGAGCCATGCCCAAGTGCACGGCCCACACCGCCTTGGCACCAAGCTTGTTGTGCCGAAGATGCTTAGGCACGAGCGCCATGCACATGCACCCGAACACCCGAAGCATATCCACCTTTGGCTTCCTTCCTAGCCACTCCACATAGGGCACCCATTTGTCTGCTCCCACATGAGTCAAGGCTCTGTTCTTGGCCACACACGCGCTCCGCACCGCATCAGGGCAGAAATAGTCGGGTAGCCCGGCTTCAATGAGCAACCCGCGTGCCGCCTCCGTGATTGTGCGGTTCGCTCGCTCGGCGATGCCGTTCATTGCAGGGGAGTATGGCATGGTGAGGGAGTGCCGAATACCATTCTTCTTCAGCCACAACCCAAACTCCTTGCTCAGGAACTCTCCCCCTCGATCGGTGCGGATTGACTTGACTAGACGGTCTTGTTGCCGCTCCACCATCGGGAACCAATCCGTCTTCAACGTTTCAGCCACGTCGCTCTTCTTGGCCAGCACGTACACCCAAGTCATGCGGGTGTAGACGTCGACAATGGTGAGAAAATACTCAGCTCCAGCAGCTCCAAGCTTCAGGGGGCCCACCACGTCCATCACCACCTCATCAAGCGGTGCCTTTGCCGTTGCCTCCGAACTAGGGAACGGAAACCGGGTGAACTTGGCTTGAATGCACGTCGGGCAGCCAAGCACCTCATCGGGCTCCCCCTTCACACGTATGCCAGCAACCATCTCATTCTTCACTAGCTGCTGCAAGATGGGCAGGGCCACATGCCCCATGCGCCGATGCAAGGTGAGCCAATCACACTCCCCCGTAGCCGAAGTTGGATTGGAGAATGCCGCGCTCGCAATAGCGCCCCACATACTCTCTCCGTAGTCCTCCTCCGCTGCTGCCTCTGGGTTCTCCTCACCCTTTTGCTGCTCCTTGGTTGCTGCACCACTCTCCTTAGGTTCACTGAACTTGCTGGTCCCTCCAGGTTTGCTCTTCTTGAGCTCATTCTCCTTAGCGCGACCGTTCGCGCCATCGTCGCTACCGACCGCTCCATCCTTGGTGCTGATGCTTGCTGCCACTTGCCTCTCCTTAGGCATAGGGACCACTGGGATCTGCCACATCTCGTTGTAGACATCCCTGTCCTCATGAAGGTCCCAAAGAATTCGATCGCCAAGCCTTGCGGTGTAGGTCTTGGCTCCCTTCGAGTTCGTGTCCATGCCGGCCTTTGCCAACCGCCGCACGGAAATCAGGTTTGCAGCAAGGCTGGGCACCCAAAGCACGTTCTTGAGGCCCACCATCTTCCCATCAGCACCCTTGAACATGGCCTTGCCCATGCCTTTCACCTCTGCTCGCTGCCCCAAAGCCGATGTGACATGCTTCACCGGTGACGGCTCGAGTTCGGTGAGCAAGTCCGGGCGAGGTGTCATGCTATAGGTAGCGCCACTATCAATCACCCAATAGTCCAGGGGGTGTAGGGTCACCTTCCCCACAGCTGCTGGCTCCTCAAAGCCTTCATCCTTCTCTGGACCAGCCGGTACTTGCGTCGACACGAAATAGAATAGACCCGGGTATCGATCGTCGCTCGGGTCCTTGTCGTTGTCTCCGCTCTTCATGTTTGCAGCTCCGCCACCGCGACCGCCACGGCCTCCACGGCCTCGTCCTCTCCCTCCTCCTGCTCCTCTACCCTCTTGGCCTTGAGCAGGGGTCCAACCATCAGGGAGTTTGTAGCAGTCGCGCCACATGTGTCCGCTCTTGTGGCAATAGTGACACTCGCCGTCGAATCGGCCGCGACCGCGTCCGTAGCTCTTGTCGTCGCTGCCGTAACCGCCACTCCTGCGGCCTCCGCCGAAGTTGCTGCCACCAAACCTTCCTCCCTCTCGTCCTCTGCCTCTTCCTCGACCATATCCACGGCCGATGCTCGCTGCCCCAGCGCCATCCGCACTCGCCAACTCACGGCGGCGGAAATCCTCTTGAAGGATAGCTCGCTTCACGTCTTCAAGCGAGAGGCGGGGCAAGTCGCGATTAAGGTTGATGATGAGCGAGGACCATGACTCTGGGAGTAAGGCCAGCAACTTGGTCTTCTTTTGGAGCTCACTGTAGTTCAAATCAGCTCCCTCAAGCCGCGTCAACAAGTCGAAGAAATTCTGCACCCCTTCTTCAACCGCTTCGTCTTCTTCAATTCG